ACTTTGCAGTGTAGACATACCCCAGGGGAACCTTCTTAATGGTGATTGTGGCAGAATGCTCTGCAGTAGGAACAGCAGGGGTCCCGGAGGTCCCACCTGTGCTCCCTGCCACAGCTGGTCTGGCAAGCAACCCAGCAGCTTCAGAGTGGCTGGCATGGAAAGGGGCTTCCCAAAACAGCCCCTCCATTGAGAGTGTTGTCATGGGTGGGAGGGAAGGACAGGAATAACAATTGGGAGAGGACAATAGTGAGGGGAGGGAGCGAAGGGAGGAAAGAAGGGGCAGGGGGAAATATTCACCACTCCCCGCCTCCCATTAGGCTCGAAGCGGGGTGGGAGGGCAGAAATAAAGAAAGGAGGAAGAGCTACAACTCTCAGCACAGGATGGTAAGACCGGCTCCTCTGGTTACACTGGGGAGATGAGGGGGTAGATTATATTAACATGGAGGGAGAGAAAAAGCGAGGGAGATAACTAAGAAAGAAGGGGGCTCAGACACCAAACAAAAGGAAAAAGGGCGGCATGGGCACACATCAAAGGGGGGAAAGGCAGCAAGGAGGGAGGACAGGCAGTGAGAAGGGTTTGCTGTAGACACTTCTGGGAGGGGGAAGGAGGAGAGATGTGCCCATGGGCACTTGAGTGGCAGACTTGCAACACCTGCTGCAGGGCCCAGCAGAGCAAAAGGAGTCAGGGGAGCAAGCAGTGGGGCCAAGAATGGAAAAAGGCCCCTGCAGCAACTGAGGCTGGGGAGGGAGCAGCAGAAATGCAGGGGAAGGCAAACCTCACCCCACCCTCAGCACTCCACAAAAACTGCACCAGCCACCACCCCAGGGACCCAGATGTAGAGACGCCCCCCGCAACCACACAGCAAGCTGTGCGGAGGAAAGAAAAACCCCAGGAGCTGCCCTCGTGGAACGAGGTGTACCGGTAGTTCGGAATAGGAAGCCTAGTCCGAACTACCTAGTTTGAGCCCCGTGTTCGGTATGCCTACATTACCCCGCTAGTTCGAACTAGCGGGTTAGTGTAGACATACCCAGACAGAGGGCGGGTATGCTGGGGCTTCAGTGAACAGCTCTCTCATCCCTGAGTAAACAGGGAGGAGCCTAGTGCAGCATAATCAGGCAGGCACCTGGAGCCAATTAAGAGCTTGCCAGAAGCAGCAGGCTAATCAGAGCACCATTAAGGCCTGCTGAGGCTTGTTTATAAGGTCTCCCTGCAAGCAGGGCAGAATCCCAGAAGAAGTGTACTGGGTGAGAGCTGAGGATGCAAGCAACACAGAGTACTGTGGAGGAGCAGGACAGACTTGCTCAGGTACCAGAGGAAAGGTACTGGGAGCAATCATTTAGGGAAGTGGCCCAGGGAAGTAGCTGCCAGACTGGGAGTAGAATAAGCCCTGTCTGTTGCTGCTGCCTTATGGTCCCTGGGCTGGAACCTGGAGTAGTGGGTGGCCCTGGGTTCCTCTGAACTGTCCCCATGCCACTACAGAGTGTCCCCTGAGAGGGGAGGAACTATTTAGAAAAGCTAAATGTATACAAATCCATGGGACTTAATGCATCCGAGGGTACTGAGGGAGTTGGCAAATGTCATTGAGGAGCCTTTGGCCATTATCTTTGAAAAGTCGTGGAGGTCGGGAGAAATCCTGGATGATTGGAAAAAGGCAAATGTAGTGCCCATCTTCAAAAACGGGAAGGACGATCCAGGGAACTATAGGCCAGTCAATCTTACCTCGGTTCCTGGAAAAATCATGGAAGGGATCCTTAAGGAATCCATTTTGAGGCACTTGGAAGAGAGGAAAGTGATTAGGAATAGTCAGCATGGATTCACAAAGGGCAAGTCGTGCCTGACCAATCTGATTAGCTTCT